ATTCACTCTTTGAATGAGAGTCCAAATACACACCTTAATTATAAAGACAGGAACACAACTTTTATAAAATGGAAAAAGTTTTAACAGTGGTTGACTAGTTAATGTGTCTCTATTGCATTAGGACAGTAACTGTCTCTATAAGCTGATTTGCACACCAAGAGGCTGCCTCTGTCTACTGAATGATTTCCTGAATGAGATATTGTTCCTAAAGGGAAAATAAGTTTTCTTTGGATTGTCTGAGGATAGTAGGTCTGGAAAATTGCTAACCCTAATTTTCCCAGGAGAACCATAAACAAAATTTACTTACCATCCATGTCCTAAACAGAAATCTTCTGTTTTAGTTTTATATACAATTAAAACTATTCAGTTATTTTGCCTAATTTGTACATACATATATTGTAACAATATTTTTCTAATTGATGAATATTTGACTTCTTTGCTATCTTCCACAAACAATGAAACTGACCTTGACGTATAAATTTGACATACACACTGTCAAAGATGTCCCATAACAGTTGCTCTGAAGATAAAGAAAGAATGCAGAAGGGAGGGACAAATTAACTTTTTGCTCTGAATTGGTTGAGTTCCATTTTAGAGTAAATCCAAAGCAGTTGTTTGAACAGGCTGTACTCAGAAACTCAGTGTAAGAATGTGACTTACAAAACTCCTGTAATATCTGAAGAATCTTCATCCCTATCTTTATCTGTCATGGAAAAACTGCTGATAATCATTGGCCAAGGTTAGCATCAATCAGGCAACTTATATGACATTGAACAAAAATGTAATTTTTCTAACACAACAAAAATTTTCTTATAAGAATTCTATACTTTAATGAGGTGGTTATATTTTTAACAAATTGATTAATATTGAATTGCTACATTGTATTACATAAATATTGTTGCTAACTTCTTTTTTATACATGTTTTTTTTAAATGCCATTTAATATTCATTCAGTACCAAAATAGTGGGCTGTTTTATTGTATGATGTGACTGATGATTGATTATACTAATTGCTTAGTCTTATGGCAATAGTTAATAAACTTATCCTTATACCTTTTTCAATAAAAGCATTTTTCCCTTGGCAGGTCCAATTTTAGTTATAGGTATTTTTCCAGAAATTTCGGGAATAATTTTCTTGTGTTCTATAGATCCCTGAAATTTAAAAAAAAAGCCCCAAACTGTTTATATTAGACACAGGGTTATTTTCCCCCAAACTCTATTCCTAGTTTATGCTGAACAAGATAGACCCACCATAACTTTCTACCCTGTGGTTTAGAGATAGTGGCAGAGCCCTAACAAGGAAGCCTGCCATGGGATAAGTGCTCTGATCTGGAGGTTCAATCCCCATAGAGGGAGCAGAGAAGGCTTAACGCCAAGTAACTGAAGTAGAACATGCAGACAGAACAGTATTACTTGAGAAGTGCTATGATGTGCTTACCAAAGGTGTTATGAAGAGTTCCCTTCCAACGTTCCATCGCAGGCAGCAAAGCCTCATTTGTACAATAACCTACTTCACAAGACTGTTGGGAAGATGAACTAAGATAATTCATCTACAGAATAAAGCAGGAACTGAGTGTAGGAGTCAATCAATCTTTCTGTTGTGGCTGTAGTTGCTATTAGATCTCCCTCCAGTTTACAGACCTAAGCTGGGGAACTTGGAGCTTCAGTTATGCCTGGATGGCTCCTTCATCCACCAACTTTGTCATTCAATTTCTTCTTGGAAATAAAACCACGTAGGTAAAACCCAAGAAATAAAAATGAAACACTACCCCCTGCACCACATACCCTTGACACTTCTCATGTTTCCACCGTCTAAAAGACTACACATTTCGTAATGCTTTTCTCCTGAGAGTAAATAATACTCAAAAAAGACAAAGCTTTTCAAACATTTATCAATATAGAATGTGAGCACTGTGCCAGGCGCTGGGGATACAGAGATGAATACATCCTTGCCTTGAATATGTTCGGAATCCAGGATGCAGCAGTCACTGAGCAGGTGGTAATAATAACCCGTGTACCAGAGAGCAGGGCGTGGAAAGTCGGCGGGGAGCGGGTCTGTGCTCATGGGAATGCCTCACCCTTCCACAGGGTTTCGGCAGGGCGTGGAGGAGTACTTCTTAGGGGGAGGAGGAGAACGTGTGAAGTAGCTTCTCAAGGGAAGCAGATTAAATTGGATGAATTGGTTTTTGACAGGTGGCAAAGAGCAGGGTATTACAGACACAGAGAGCAGCCTGAAAAGGACACAGACGCTGGGGAAATGTGTGATTGATGGAGAGAAAACACGGTAGTTTGCCTATAGCTGAAGTGAAGAATTGACGTCTGGTGAAAATGGTAAGAGAAAAGCTGGAGACGTAGGTGGGGACGAATTGTGAAGGCCTGTACAGAAGAGGTGTTAGCTGACTGTAATGCCGTGCTAGTGGTGATGAATAAGAATGTCTTTAGTGTGGGCTACTGTAACAAATTACCATAGACGGGGTGACTTAAATAGCCAAGATTTATTTCTCTTGATTCTGGAGGTGGGATATCAGAGATCAAAGCACCAAAAACATTGGTTTCTGGTGAAGGTCCTCTTCTGGGTTGCACATGGCTGGCTTCTCATTGTGTCCTCACATGATAGAAAAAGAAACAGCCCCTATGTCTTCTTATGAGGGCATTAATCACATTCTAGAGAGGTCTAGTCTCATAACCTAATTATTTCCCAGAGGCCTCACCTCCAAATACCACCACACTGGGGATTGGGGATTAAATACAATGAATTTTGGAGGAAAAGGAACATTCAGTTCATGCCAAACAACGTCTCTGAGATTCCTTTGCTGTTGCTGGTCAGTTGCTCAGCTGTATTCCACACTTCATGACCCCACGGACTGTAGCATGCCAGGCTTCCCTGCCCTTCACTGTCTCCTAGAGTTTGTTCAAACGTATGTCCATTGAGTTGACTGAGACTCCTAGTGATTTTCTTTTTCCCCTCAGACATTTCTTTCAGACCTCATTCCTAGTAGAGGGAGGTGGAGTCATTCATTCTCTTTCATGGCATTCCTACAACAATGCCTGGCAAATACAGCTCCTCCTGTTTTACTATTTAGTTTTAACTTTGCCAAAGATCAATGGCTACCACTATGTGAGTGTCTACCTCTCAAATAATTTTTACTGCTCAGGAAACATAATCAAGGGGAAACAGGTGCCACACAGGCATATGAAAGCATCTGGCTATTTTACCCTACTCCCTTAACATGAATAACAAGTTAGCACTTTCTTTTGGAGCGGAGGGTTGGCAAGGCACTGTTCTCAGCCCATATTCCACGTTTTTGTTGCAGACCTCTTCTGTGATATATGCTAGGGAAACAGTGGTGAACAACTGAATGGACTCCTGGAAAAGCTTAAATCTCAAGGTGCTTCAAACCTTTTAAGTGTTATCGAAGAGACAGCTGAGTTTCTTCAGGAAAAAAATCTTGTTAAAAGAGAAACCTATGTAAACCTGCTAGACAGGTTTACATTATATTGTACTCTGTTTACATAAAGCAAACATTAGCATTATATTGTAATATCCTTGCAAACCACAAGATGTGAACAAAAGTGGTTCTTAGAAGGGACTGCTTTACAGTTCCAAATCTTAGATGCTAAGTATTAGTCTGTAGTCTTCCAAAATATAACATTACTTTAATAAAATGACTTTGGGGCTTCCCAGGTGGCTCAGTAGTAAAGAATCCACTTGCCAATGCAGGTGACACAAGAGGAGAGGCTGGTTCCACCCCTGGGTCAGGAAGATNGATTCAAACAGTGAAATTTCACTTTTCACCCGGTGAATTGGTGTGTGTTTAAAAGGTTGATAAGGGCTTCCCCTGTGGCTCAGTCAGTTAAGAGTCTGCCTGCAATGCAGGAGAGCAGTGTTCAATCCCTTGGTCGGGAAGATCCCCTGGAGAGGAAATGGCAACCCACTCCAGTATTCTTGCCTGGAAAATCCCATGGATGGAGGAACCTGGTGGTCTACAGACCATGGGGTTGCAAAGAGTCAGACAGGACTGAGCGACTTCCTTTCACTTTTCCCTTTCAAAGCTCAAAAAACATTTTATAGTCTTAAAGATCCTATAGAAGCTCCATTAGTAAATAGTTTCATAAGGATTGTGAAATTAGTCTTCTGACACTACAGAGCAGTTTTTTGGTTGTCTTTGTGGGATTTTTTGATAAATAGGAGTGCATCCATTTTTAATTCCATTCAACACACTGGCAGGAAATCTACTACTCAAGACCAAGTTTCCTGCAAACCTAAATTTAAAGCTCAAAGCAAGGACAATACAGAAAGAGTGAGTGTGCAGTTTTTAATAGTTCATTTGACAGAATTTTATTTTCATTATATTGACACAAACCACAGAAGGTGAAGCTGGATAAAATCTCTATTGTTAAGCATCTGAGAAGAAAACGGTTTTTACCTAAAGGCAACTCAGGACCATGGTGGGGATTGGGGGAAGGACAAAGAAGAGGGTAGGAAGAACTGAGAGAATTAACTGAAAATACATAATTACCATATGTAAAATATATAGCAAGAGGGAATCTTCTGTGTGACACAGGGAGCTCAACCCACTGCTCTGTGACAACCTAGACAGGAAGGATGGAGAGGAAGATGGGGGGGATGTTCAGGACCCAGAAGATACATGCATACCTGTGACTGATTCATGTTGATGTGTGGCAGAAACCAACACAGTACTGCAAAACAATTATCCCCCAATTAACAAAAAATAGAAACTGAGTTAAAGTTAGGATAACTTGATCAGTAATTCGCACGAGACATCCATGTTTGACTCTGTCATGTGGAAGGTTCAAGATTATATCTAGAAAACGGTAGAGAAAAAGGATGATACTAAGGCAAGGAGGTGGGTTTGGGGAGCCTCAGTGATGGACGAAAGCGCGCCAGGGGCAGCAAGAGAACGCCGAACCTCCGCGGGTGGCCCTGAGCCAGGGCGCGGTGGTCAGGGCGGGGAGATGAGTTTTGGGGGAGGCGACAACCGGGCGGCAAAGTCCATGCGAGTCGAGGCGCCCGGTGGGGCGCACTTGTCTCCTTTTGTAAAAGATGCGCTGGGCACCCGCTCCGGTGAGTTGACCGCTAGCGGGAAGAGGCGGGAGCCCGCGGGGCGAGTGGAGCCGGCCCCTCCCCCGGCGCCTCCGGTAGCTGGGTCAGGACGCCCCGGCCGCGGCGCTGGATCTTGGGACTCGGAAGCTCCCGGACTACTGACCGCCCGCCGCTTCGCTCCCGACCACCCCGCCAGCAAGTCCTAAGGTCTCCGACGACAGAGAGACCAGCGCCGCGAAAACAGGTGAGTGAGCCGACTGGCAGTGTGCGTCTCTGCCGGCCAGGGTGGGACGCGGGCGAGGGCCGAGAGCCGAGGGCCCAGGCGGCACTTCCGGCGGCGGCCACCGCACTTCCGGGTCGTGCAGGCGTCCTGTCGGGCGCCGCATTGCTGGTGGGCATCCTCCCCCTGGCCCGCGGTGCTGTGTATTTTTGGGGCCGCAGAGCGGGTTTCCAGCGGCTTCCTCCAGCGCCGCCTTCGACCCCGGAGGTCGCCAGCATTTCCGCTCGGGCCCACGGCTTGGGGTGCGTGGGGAGCGGGCAGCCCGGCGGAGGCAGCAGACCCAGCTGTTTCCGCCGGAGACACTTGCCTTCCTCTCTCTTGAGCTCCCTGGGTCTGTCTTACCTGTAAGCCTTCGGCAAAGGTTTTTTGTTTTGTTTTGGCAAACTCGGATTCTCTACTTGTTTTACATAAAATGAAGCCTAAATTTTTTGTTCGACAAACATTTGCAAATAAGCCAAACATCAGGGAGCCCGAAATAAAGAATTACTAAATAGGAGAAAAAAAGTGAAAACCGAATGAAATATGAGTATTAGAATTCACTTAAGAAGTATCGAGTTATCCAGGTCGCTGTGGGGAATCTAATCGCTAATTCAAGGTCTCAGAGAATTCCCTTAAGCTTAAAACTCATGGTCAGTTGTAACCCGTACTGTGTACTTTTACCCGATTTGCACAAGTTTTCATCCATCTTCCGAGTTTACCTGAGTTCTGTATTTTATGTATTTCCCCGCTACGATCTGCTGATGAACTAAATGAATGTATATGCTAAATATTGTTTGAAAGCATTGCAAATAACTTGGTAAAGCATACTTTCCATATCTGAAAATTAATTGAAACTAGACCATGAAAATTAAATGTTTTCTGAAGTTAATTTTTTATGACATGTTCTACAAAGGAATTTTAATGTAGAAGTTTCTGTAGAATCAACATTTTGATGATTTACTATTTCAGCAGAATTCTTAATTCTCATATCTGCAAATAATCTTTGATTATGTATTACATATTAATTTTAAATACCAATAATTAAATTATATCTTATTGTACATTATTATTAGCACCTTACAAATTGAAACATGGGGCAGGAATAATACTTAGCATCTGATTAATCTGATTGTCTAATTTCTCTCTATATATGTGTATCTGTATTTTAAACCACGATTTATTCTTTTTTTCTCTCTTTTTATCTTTCTTTCTTTCTACTGTGCAATCTTAGTTCCCTGACCAGGGATTGCTGGAGGCCCCAGCAGTGAAAGCACTGAGTCCTCACCACTGGACCAAAAGTGCTGAGTCCTAACCACTGGACAGCTAGGCAACTCCCTAGTCAACATATTTTTAAATTACTATGTTTTGATAATAAACTGCAAGTGTCTACTACTAATGTGATAATTAAAGTTATATAAATGATGTAATATTAACTTTGAAATTAAATACTGCAGGCAAGCAGGTGTTCTGTTACTCTCCTCTGTTACTCTTTTTAATGAGCTCCTTTTTTCAAATTAATTGACTTAGCACATTCATTTTATACTGATATAAAACTCTGACATAGTATGAGCTATTATTCTCTAGTTGTGGTTATTTGAAACCAATACCTGCTGCATTGATTCTAGCTTTTTTCCCAGTTGATTTTCATAGTTCTGAAGTCGTGTTTCAGTTCTGAACATCTCTGCCCACTCAGCAATTCTCCTTTATGTCCTTGTTGATGCTTTCTGAATCTTCATCATGCAACAGTACCAGGAGTTATCAAGGGTAACAGTTCTCATTCCTAGTTGGGTAACCTCTGGGTAAATGACTTGATAGCTGTGTGCCTCAATTTGCTTATCTGCACAGTAGAGATAATAGTAAGACCTGCCTCAAAGAGATAATGTGGGATTGGTATAATTTCTAAAAAAAGGGTCAAACAAAATTTGATAACTCTTTCTCACCTGTTTAAACCTGGTACCCTCTCAGGAATAAGATCTTCCTTGGTAGATCTTGACTTCCATTTATTTACTTATTAAATTAAAAAATAATTCAAATGAGGCTATGTTTTTTTAATGTAAAGTTCAAAGAAGGCCCAGCAGGAATGAGCCAAGAAAGCAATCAATAGGAAGAGTTCTTTTAATAGACCTCAACGTCAGCATGTGAACATCCTGCATTAATCTTTGTATTGACAAGAAAGAGCTAAGATGGTCAAGCTTGACGCCCAGTGATTATTAGATGTGATGTAAATATTAAATCATGAACATATAGTGACTTTTCTTGTATCTGTTGCCTTAATACACTTTTAAAATAATTTAGTTTATGATATATTTTTTTGTTGAAATAAAATCGACCAGCTGATAATAATTACCTCCAACTTTAGGTAAAGTTACAAACTGGTGTGAATCTGCTGCTGGCATTTTTCCTACATAGGATGGGAGTGGACAGATGGTTAGAATTAGAGTTCATATTTATAATGATTAGGTAAAAATACTTTTTACTTAAAAAGATAGTGATGGGCTTCCCTGGTGGCTCAGATGGCCTGCAATGCAGGAGACCTGGGTTTGATCCCCTGGGTTGGGAAGATCCCCTGGAGGAGGGCATAGCAACTTACTCTAGTATTCTTACCTGGAGAATCCCAGGGACAGAGGAACCTGACAGGCTACAGTCCATGGGGGCTCAAAGAGTCTGAAACGACTGAGCATTCCCTTGTCCTTTGTGCCGTTGTTATGCTACTTTCTTCTACATCTGATAAAAATCTCATGATGTTACTGTCATTTTTGTTGTAACAAGCAAGTATTTAATGAATCAATCTTAAAATGAGAAAAAAATGACTTATATTTTGCCACGTTTGCCACCACTGGTGCTCTTCATCCTTTGTATAGACCCATAAATTTCTGTGGTTATCATTTTATTTCTGCCTGATGAACCCCATTAGCATTCCTTATAGTGAATGGCTGCTGGTAATGGATTCTCTCAACTCTTCTTTGTTTAAAATAGTCTTTGAAATATTAAAATAGTTCAATATTTAAAATAAATATTATTTTAAATAATATTTAAAATAAATATTATTTTAAATAATATTTAAAATAGTATTTTAAAATTTCTTTGTTTAAAATACCCTCATTTTTGAAAAATATTTTACTGGGTATAGAAATGCAAGTTGAAAGTTTCTTTCAGCACTTTCAAAGGGTCACTCCATTGTTTGCTTGCTTGATTAGTTTCTGAGGTGACATCTCTGAGACACTGTCTGCTGTAATATTATCTTCTTTCTCTGTAAGTAATGTTTTTTTTTTCCCCCATCACTGGCTACTTTTAAGATTTCTTTATTACTAGCTTTCAGCATTTTAATGATGTTTGACCTTGGTTTAATTTTATTTTTCTTGGATTATGTTGATATTCTTGGATCTTTGGGTTTATAGTCTTTGTCCAACTTGGAATTTTTTTTGGCCATGTTTCCTTTAAGGTTTTTTTTTTTGGTACCCCTGCTTCCTTTTAACTATATATGTTCTAGACTGCTTGATACTACCCTATAGGCTCTACTTGGGTTTTTTTGTTTAGTCCTTTTTATTTTTTTTGTAACAAGCAAGTATTTAATGAATCAATCTTAAAATGAGAAAAAAATGACTTATATTTTGCCACGTTTGCCACCACTGGTGCTCTTCATCCTTTGTATAGACCCATAAATTTCTGTGGTTATCATTTTATTTCTGCCTGATGAACCCCATTAGCATTCCTTATAGTGAATGGCTGCTGGTAATGGATTCTCTCAACTCTTCTTTGTTTAAAATAGTCTTTGAAATATTAAAATAGTTCAATATTTAAAATAAATATTATTTTAAATAATATTTAAAATAGTATTTTAAAATTTCTTTGTTTAAAATACCCTCATTTTTGAAAAATATTTTACTGGGTATAGAAATGCAAGTTGAAAGTTTCTTTCAGCACTTTCAAAGGGTCACTCCATTGTTTGCTTGCTTGATTAGTTTCTGAGGTGACATCTCTGAGACACTGTCTGCTGTAATATTATCTTCTTTCTCTGTAAGTAATGTTTTTTTTTTCCCCCATCACTGGCTACTTTTAAGATTTCTTTATTACTAGCTTTCAGCATTTTAATGATGTTTGACCTTGGTTTAATTTTATTTTTCTTGGATTATGTTGATATTCTTGGATCTTTGGGTTTATAGTCTTTGTCCAACTTGGAATTTTTTTTGGCCATGTTTCCTTTAAGGTTTTTTTTTTTNCGCTTGAAAGAGATAAAAATGTCTGGCATTTGCAGCCTATTTCCTCCGTTTGGAGACCCCTGGCCTTCCTGCCTGTTACCCTCTCAATGTCTTAGTCCATTTAGACTGCTATAACAAAATCCTGTAGATTGGGTGGCTTATATACAACAAAAATTTATTTCTCATTATTTTATAGTCTAAGAAATCCAAGATCAAGGCACTGGCAGATTCAGTATCTTGTGAGGACCTGCTTCCTGGTTTAGAGATGACAACTTCTTGCTGTAACTTTATGTGGTGGAAAGATTTATACTGTTGTTTTCCTTTAGGGGCCTTCTGACTTTAAGAACAGTGATAAGCAATAAAACTAGTGAAGAGGGGATAAAGTAAAGAAAGATTATGGTGCATTTTGTCAAAGTAGATGAGGTTATGTGGAGTTAGATGGGCCAGAGCTTAGGTCTTTGATGCAAAATGATGAAAGTTCAGAAGGAGGAAAGAGTCAAAGAAATGAGTTTTTTGTTACTTTAAAAAGAAGTGAACATTTGAAAGAAAATAAAAGCATTAAGGCCTCAGACAGAAGTAGAACTATGACTGAGAAGCAGAAGAATTCCTGGTCAGAAGAAGAAAGGAGGTGAAGCCTCACATTCATTAGTGTCTCTGCTTTCCACGTTGAATAAAGCAGAGATGAAGTGGGTACAAATATGCCAAAACTTTATATTATATATCCCAAAGCCTATTTAAAAATGTTGTTGATCTAAATCTGTACTCTAAATTGGAGTACAGAATGTGAACTAGATGCTAAGGAAAAGCTTTCTCTTGGGCTTTCCTGAAAGATTATGTAAAACCCAGACGTTAGCACACTAGTTACAGTCCATAGCGTCACGAAGTTAATTTTATACAAATGAGAGGTTCAGATACAGTTAGGCATAATTTGAATTCTTAAATAGTTTTTTTCAGAAATTTATAATGATGCTTTTACCTCTATCATACCCTTTAAAAATACATGACAAAGAGTAAATTTCAGATCAGATGTATAGAATACAGATTCTGAATTAAAGTTGATACTTTACACTGGTTGTCAGTAATATCCTTAAAGGTAGTATTTCTACTCACCCACATACATTATAGAGGCAATTTGGTTTTTTGTTGTCGTTTAGTCACTAAGTCGTGTCCGACTCTTTTGCCGCCCCATAGACTATAGCCTGCTAGGCTTCTCTATCCATGGGAGTTTCCAGGCAGGAATACTAGAGTGAGTTGCCATTTCCTTTTCTAGGGGATCAATACGACCCAGGGATAGAACCTGTAGTTTCTGCCACATCTCCTGCACTATAAGTGGATTCTTTACTGCTGAGCCACTGGGGAAACCCAGATAGTAATTTCCATATAGAGGCAATTACTCATAATTTATTTTAGTTTGTGATTTATCAGGTGTTATTAAATTTTTTGTGATGATGCAGACTTGATTTTTGTTGATAGGGAAAAAAACTAGTATTTTCGTCCTCGGCAAAGACAGAAATAATGTTCATTTCCTTTTTTTTTTTTTAATTTTAGAAACAAAACCTGAGAAATGCCTCATTCCATAAATAGAGAAATGATACTTGGCATTGTGGTGGGAACTGCTGGAATCAGCTTGCTGCTTTTGTGGTATCACAAGGTTCGTAAACCAAGGACAGCAGTGGATTTACCTAAATTTCTTTCTCTGGGTAATTCACTTGATTTGATGACTTTGCAAGATGAAATGCCTAGTGGCCAAGGAACAACAGCGATCTTTCAAGGAAGGCAGCTTCAGATACTGGAGAAGTTAAATGAATTACTGACAAATATGGAAGAACTCAAAGAGGAAATCAGAGTTCTTAAAGAAGCCATTCCAAAGCTGGAGGAGTATATACAAGGTGAACTTGGAGGGAAGGTAACTGTTCACAAGATAAGTCCTCAGCACAGAGCTAGGAAAAGAAGGCTTGCCCCAGTTCAGAGTTCAGCAACAAGTAATAGTTCAGAGGAAGCAGAAAGTGAGGGAGGGTAAGTTTCTTTAAAATGTTTTCTATGTTAAATGGATTCTTTATTGCAGTATTGCTATTATTTAGGTATTTTCATTATACATTCCTAGTCACATGTGCTGTTACTATTTAATAACAAGCCATAAAAAGGAGTGATTATTTTGGCTTATGTTATAATTAAAACCATATTCAATGGAGGTCAGTATTTTAGTTTAGAGCTCGTTGACAAAGAGAATATAAGTAACTTACTAGTGCTGGTGGTGTCACTTGAGTATGAGGAAGACAGTGATCATTTGCCAAAACATGTAACCTGTTTTTAAATGTGACCAGTCTCTGACCCCTTATGTAATTAAGAACTGTCCAATAAGTGGTCTAATAAAACTTTCTGCGATCATAGAAATGATCTAAATCTGTCTGCCCAGTATGGTAGCCACAAGCCATGTGTAACTCTTAAGCACTTGAAATGTACCTTGTGCAGCTGAGGAACTAAAAAGTTTTAATCTCATTTTATTGTAATTAATTTAAAATTAAACAGCCACATGACACCAGTGGCTACTGAATTGGGCAGTACAGACCTAAAAAGAGTTGAGAATGTACAAGTGACTCAGTTCCATCCTTGCATAGGACAATTCATTGGATTCTAAAGTCAAGGCATGAATAATATCCTTTGGGGGGAAGACAAATGATTTATGAAAAAAAGGAATTGTGCCTGACTAGTGTTTCTAAGACTCTTGAGAGTCCCTTGAACTGCGAGGAGATCCAACCAGTCCATCCTAAAGGAGATCAGTCCTGGGTGTTCATTGGAAGGACTGATGCTGAAGCTGAAACTCCAATACTTTGGCCACCTCATGCGAAGAGTTGACTCATTTGAAAAGGCTCTGATGCTGGGAGGGATTGGGGGCAGGAGGAGAAGGGGGTGACAGAGGATGAGATGGCCAAATGGCATCACCGACTCGATGGACGTGAGTTTGGGTGGACTCGGGGAGTTAGTGATGGACAGGGAGGCCTCTGCGATTCATGGGGTCGCAAAGAGTCAGACACCACTGAACGACTGAACTGACTGACTGTTTCTAAGGAGTAAAATAGGAAAGTAAGTAAAGATGCACTAGTGAATGTAACATAGCCTGAAATTCATTAGGGCAAGGGTCCTATGTTTTCATCATCGTATTCCTAACACCTGTTTTTGTGCCTAGCACCATGTGTATGTGCTAAGTCACTTCAGTCATATCTGACTCTGTGACCCTATGGACTACAGCCCATCAGGCTCCTCTGTCCTTTGGATTCTCCAGGCAAGAATACTGGAATGGATTGCCATTCTCTTCTCCAGGGAATCTTCCCAACCCAGGAATCGAACCCTCCATCTTCTGTGGCTCCTGTATTACAGGCAGATACTTTATTGCTGAGCCGCTGGGAAAGCTGAGTAGATGACAATAACTATTACTTAAATTAATAGACTATCTGCTGAATATAGGATTGGGAGAAGGAGGAGGGATCTAGAGAAAGGAAACAAGGAGAAGGGGTTTAAAGGTGGTTTCACACATGGAGAAATGTAAGTGATTGATCAAGTCTTTTGAGATCAATGCTTGTTGTTGTTCAGTCCCTGAGTCGTATCCGTCTCTTTGTGACCCCCTGGCCTGCAATATGCCAGGCTGTCAATCTTTTACTTGTATTGCTCTATCAAACCATGGGTTTAAAATAATTATTTAGTTTTCTGCTGTCGTCCTGAGTGGTAGCTGCCGAAATGAGCTAGTTCATGAAACCCGGGAACGCAATGCTGGCCCTGGCCAGTCACTATGAAGGACACAAAGTGTTCATCGTGAAGAACATTGATGACGGCAGCTCAGACACACCACACAGCCATGCTCCGGTGGCTGGAACTAATCTCTCTCCCTGCAAAGTGACAGCTGCCACAGCCAAGAAGAAAATCGCCAAGAAGTCAAAGATCAAGTCTTTCCTGAAAGTTTATCATTATAATCACCTCAGGCCCACAACGTACTCTGTGGGTATCCCCTTGGACGAAATGGTTGGCAACAAGGATATCTTCAGAGACCCTGCTAACAAATGCAAAGCCTGATGAGAGGCCAAGGTCAAGTTCAAGGCTAGATACAAGACGAGCAAGAACAAATAGTTTTCCCAGAAGCTTCAGTTTTGTCTGTCTTGTTCAGTCATTAAATCCCACCCCACCCCAGGCCAAAAAGGTATTATTTGTATCACAGTGTTATATAAAGCTTTAGAAACCTCCCTTTCAAAAATTAGATTTTATTTCAGTTTAGGTTAAAGTAATACCCCATAATAAAATTCATTGTTTGTCCATTTCATTTGGGCTTTAAGAGACTACATGGGCCATATAGCCTTGCTCACTTAATAGAATTATCTAGTTTTTAAACTCATGTATTCTAGAAGAACCATTTGTTCTTGCTGGTCTTACACTGCCCTAAAAATCCTCTGTGCTCTGCCAGTTTATCCCTCTCTCCCCTTTAACCCCTGGCCACCTGTGATCTTTATACTTTCTCTACTGTTTTGCCTTTTCTAGAATGTCATATTGTTGCAATCATACAGTATGTAGTCAATTTGACTTCTTTTACTTAGTAATATGTATTTAAGTTTCCTCTATACTTTTTCATAGTGCATTAATAGCACAAATCTTTTTAGCACTGAATAATGTTCCATTGTCTGGATATACCACAATTTATCCATTTGCCTACTGAAGGACATCTTGGTTGCATCCAAGTTTTAGTAATTATGAAAACTGCTGCAATAACCATTCATGTACAGGTTTTTGAGTGGACATAAATTTTCATCTCATTTGGGGAAATACCAAGGAGCATGATTGCTAGATTGTATGGTAAGTATATGTTTAGCTGTGTAGAAAGCCTCCAGTTGTCTTCCAAAGTGGCTCTACCATTTTGGATTCCCATAAGCAATGAATTCCTGCTGCTCTACATCCTCACAAGCATTTGGTGTTGTCAGGGTTCTGGATTTTGACCATTCTAATAGGTATGTAGTAACCTTACATTGTTGTTTTAGTTTATATTTCTCTAATGACATATCATGTGGAACATCATTTCATATGCTTATTTACCATTTGTGCATCTTTGGTGAGGTATCTGTTAAGGTCTTTGGCCCATTTTTAAATGAGATTGTTCATTTTTATATTGCTGAGTTTTAAGAGGTCATTGTATATTTTGGATAACAGTCCCTTTTCAAGGGAAATAGTCTTTGCAAGTATTTTGCAAATACTTTCTCTTAGTCTGTAGCTTCTCATTCTCTTGACATTATCTTTCTCAGAGCAGAAGCTTATCAGTTATTTCTTTCATGGATCATGCCTTTGGTATTGTATTTAAAAAGTCATTGCCAAATTTATCTAGGTTTCCTCCCGTGTTATCTTCCAGGAGCTTCATAGTTTCACATTTTATATTTAAGTTTGTGGCCCATTTTGAGTTCAAAATGTGACGGGTGTAAGGTCGGTGTGGCCTCTGTCTCCAGGCCGTTCTCTGGTTTGTGAGGAGAAACTGAAGAATGAGGCAGTGTCTCCCTCTTGGACTAACAGCAGATTGAACAGATTTGGTTACTGCTTGCTCTGAAAGTGGGGGATTCCCTGAGCGTGGTGGTGCCTTCTTTGAAATGCAGCTCACTTGATATTAAGAGTCTCTGGGCTCTCCGCATTGCTCTTGTGGGTCCTGAGGTCAAGGAGAACCAACATAAATAAGCGGGTGATCACGTTGCGTAATTTGCTGTGAGTAACAAAGTCCTCTGTCTCTTATGCAAGAATCGTGTGTCTCCTGCCAGCAACCATGAAACAGGAACAGATTAATTCATTTGAATGTTGGGTAAAATTGGGTTATAAACTGACAGTGGTATGGTGAGAACTAGAGAGCTTTGAAAGGGATTTATTCAAGGGTTTCCCAAAGAAGGTTGTTAGAAAGGAAACAAAAGCAAGATGTAGTATTACAGTATACAGAATATGGAGAAGCTTGTTGAGGGAGTGTTTTATGTCATAGGTGGAAAAGGAAGAGGATGGTATTCTAATAGTTTTGTTAATCTTGCCTTTAAATGGGTTACAATATAACAGCAGATCTCCATAATCTGTGCATGTGGTCCATGTAATCAGATGCCATGCTTTATTGCCAAGATAAATTTAGCTTTCAAGTTAGAATACACATTCCACAGTCACATGAATTGCAGTTTTTCAGAAAGATGAGCCATAGAACAATTTTATTTTGAACTGATGTCATTAGATTCTAGAATCTGCTATCATCATATTCTGTGTTATTGCCATGTTAATTCTATATGCAGCTTAAGCATTCAGCATCTAACCTCTTCCACCTACACAGGACATTTTTATGGCTAAGAATGATGGCTTAGAAAGGAAGGGAAAGATTTGCTTTGTATTAAATTCAATATGGGAAAATGCTTAAGGTAAGCCTTTAAGAAGAAAACAAAACATGTCTTCATATGTTTCATGTGCTAAAGAACATTGAAATATTCATAAACCAAGCTTTAATGCTTCCTTCAGTTTCCCACAGTGACTGAATATCTGGATATTTATCTGAAATATTCTCTCCAGACAGGTTCTGCTTTATCTATGATTAATATTTTAAAATAGCATTAGCCAGTGGGGTATAAGTTTATTGTGCTTATCAACTCCTTCAAATCTGTTAGTTCAGTAGTCTCAAACAGATACTATGACTTAATTATTTTCAAAACAGGGAAGTTCTCTGTTTGCCTACAGGGAACCCTTTTGTTGGGGTGCCTTCTATTATGTTTTTCCCTGACCTTTCTTTCTGCCTACCACCCTGAGGCTTTCCATTTATCTTCCCAAGGTTTAGTAGAGTGGGCAGGTACCGTGTAGGTAGTTAGAAATAATCTTTTAGACTTAGGCATTCTTTGGGGGTACATCTGGGTAACCATCAACTTCACCTGTCTTAATTTCTTATTCCGTTTCCATATTGATAAGGTAGCTATTATTCTTCAGGACGCTTGGCAGGTTTCCACCTGTGTTCCCTGTTCTTTTTTCCTCAT